CGTTGTCCACTTAGTGAAAGTGTGTACGTTGCACTTAGGTGCCAGAATCAATGTTCTACGTTGTCCACTTAGTGAAAGTGTGTACGTTGCACTTAGGTGCCAGAATCAATGTTCTACGTTGTCCACTTAGTGAAAGTGTGTACGTTGCACTTAGGTGCCAGAATCAATGTTCTACGTTGTCCACTTAGTGAAAGTGTGTACGTTGCACTTAGATGCCAGAATCAATGTTCTACGTTGTCCACTTAGTAAAGAAAGGGGATGTCTTTAATTAGTTTACGAATAACTTCATCTACGTTTTGATATTAGATTTTCTTTTTATTTAAACAAAACAGAGGCTAAACTAAGGCAGATTAATTCTTGAAAACTGTTTCTAAGGAATTTGTTTTTATTAACCTGGTGCTTTAAACGGCTAACTTACTCTGTAGATCAGAACTAAACAGCAACTTATAATTTAATCATGCCAAATATATATATATAAAATATCAATATAGCATGTATTATTCACTGAACATACGCATATTAATTCATCATATCTCACCATGACAGGAAAATCTAACACTCACATAGCTAATGTAGAAGTATTATTATTGATTTGTTACATATTAATTTATCATGTCTCGCCATGACAGAAAAATCTAACACTTACATAGTTTATGTAAAAGTATTATTATTGATTTGTTACATATTAATTTATCATGTCTCGCCATGACAGAAAAATCTAACACTTACATAGTTTATGTAGAAGTATTATCATTGATTTATTACATACATGAGATTTTAAAATAAAACATTCACGAAGAGTTGAATATTTTGATTTAACATTAAAGCAATTATTATATATATTCAAGGCATTTTCATGTATATTAAGAACAAATATTGATCAAGTATTGATGACAGTTAATAAAAAGCTTGGTGGTATCGTTAAAGTATATCAAACGTCATCGTGAAGCGAATCCTTAACGTGCAAATAATCCATTGCACGATCAATTCATAAAAATCCAACGGACATTTTTCTATCCATTGCTTTTTTAAACCTATATACTACCGAAGCTATGGTGATAAGGTGTTTGCCATATTCAGTGATTCTCGACATGCAACCCTTGATAAATGAACAGAAATTTTCTCCACGTCTATAGGTAATATTCTCTTTCCAGCATAATTGAAATTCATAAAAAATATATAACACTATTAAAATTTTGAAAGACGCGGGAATGGCTTAGTTACTTATAAGGTGTCTACAATATAAATCTAGAAATAATTGTCTTCCTTTGACTTGTGGCAAACTAAACTGTGAAAACCCCCTACTCCATGAGGTAGATGTCTTATGGCAAACTAAACTGTGAAAACCCCCTACTCCATGAGGTAGATGTCTTGTGGCAAACTAAACTGTAAAAACCCCCTACTCCATGAGGTAGATGTCTTGTAGCAAACTAAACTGTGAAAACCCCCTACACCATGAAGTAGATGTCTTGTGGCAAACTAAACTGTGAAAACCCCCTACTCCATGAGGTAGATGTCTTGTGGCAAACTAAACTGTGAAAACCCCCTACTCCATGAGGTAGATATCTTGTGGCAAACTAAACTGTGAAAACCCCCTACTCCATGAGGTAGATGTCTTGTGGCAAACTAAACTGTGAAAACCCCTACTCCATGAGGTAGAGAAGATTGCTCGACAGATTTTATAGAATCACAAAGAATAAAAATAACTGAGTACTGCGTTAATATTCTATATGTGGTTAGTTCGAAGTAGGTATGGTTCTGTCTCCTCGTTGGAGTGATATATTTCAATCTTCGACAAATTACATATTACAAACAGATGTTTGTACAGATATCATGACCTTTTACTCACAGGATCAAAATGAAAATTATTATGGATAACGGAAATGAAAAGTGATCGCTTAAATGTTACGGATGCCGATATACTTATATGAGGAATCTGTATTGAAACTTACATAAGCAAAACTTTGCACCAAAACACACACACACACATATATATATATATCTTGAAAATAAAAATACGTAGTCATTGTGAGTACGTTATTTATGAAAAATAATTTCAAATCATTGTGGAGTGTTAGAAATTCCAAAGCCCACCCTATGTTTCTCTCTGTGTGGTTTAGTGGAAAGTCAACGTGAATGAAGATTCAAGTATCTGAGGTATGAAGAGTAACACTTAACGTTCCATAAAACCCTCGATAGCCTGAAATGTCAGATTTTAACGGTAAAGCCAGTTGCATCTCAATCTGGTGTTTGTACGATGACTCACACATTTTAGTTTGTAGTGAAAACATCTTATTAACGATTATTTTTTTTAAATACAATGACTGATTGATGGAAATTATTTTCTGATATAAAACTACAGATGAAGTTATGTTCTTACTGATGTTATATACGGCCATTTACAGGGCGACGCAAAAGATACTTGCCCCACATATTTTATTCTGTATAAGAATATCAATGATTGATCTCATTTTCCTGGCAATGATTAACATACCCTTTTATAATTATTTTCAATGTTTAACAGTTTGAAATAAATATTATTTCTCAAGACTTGGAGCAACATACTTTGGCCTCACCCTGTATGTATAAGATTCGAAGAAAAAAAACATACATAGAAGAAAACCTAGAAAGATTTAAAATTATATATCAAAGCAAGTTCACGTATATAATATAAAAGACATTAAGTTGTATGTATCAGCCCCAGTTTTTTAAAGATAAAACTGTTAACAAGAGGGTATGCAGCTAACTTTAAGTCAAGTGCTGAAGAACATGTGCAAAAAAAATGTTTTATTTCAAACACTATAATTCCTTTTTGTTTTTGTATCAGGACAATTTAATTGACTGTTGTGAAGATCAACAAATCATATATAACTGTAAAAATTACTTTCGTTGTTATCTAGTATTTTACCAAAACTTTCGCGCCATTAAAAGTTTCTTAGTCATTACGAGAGTAACTGTAAATTACAGTTTTCTTTAGACATTTTGACTGAAGTGTCAGATATAGAACTAATTGATGCTCATGGCATTCTCTGATTACAGCAGAAATGGTTAATACGAGAGAACCCTATCTTAGCTATAATGACGGGAAAAGCGAGCTAATTTTCGCATTTCCTTAAGCATTCAGTTCAATCATTACGAAAGATCTTTATTACTCTTAATATGAACCCTTGCTAGAAATGGAGAAAACCATAGAAACTTGGTGAATTTGAGCTCGTCAAGGTAATAAAATATCTGGAAACATGAAACTTAACAATAGGAAAGTTTATATTGGATTAAGAATAGGAAAGTTTATATTTGAAATTTCACTTGTTGGAATAATCTAGCATTTTCTGACATTTGATGTAAATGGTAGTTGCTTAAACTGCACAAGTTTCAGTTTTCCAAACACACTTTGCTGTATAAATGATTTAGAAACCAAATATTCTTCAATTTTTTTATATCTTTTAATTTTGTTTATAAATCTGAATATTTATTGAAAAATATTTAATATGTTGTTACAGTGGAACATAAGGCAAAAATAGACATAGTAGGTTTGAGATCTTTAACGGCCTGCAATTGCCTGTTGGAAGAAAACGAGACGACGTTCCGGCTTCTATATTGAGGCCTACCTTAAAAACGTTGTCTCCTTTTCTTTCAAAATGAAGTTGCAGTCCATTAACGTTCTCAAACTTACAAATATTTAGTCTGTATATAGTTAATAGATAGCACAAAAGCTGTTCATAGTGTTTAGATTAAAACTCATGAGTTAAAATTCAAGTATGATCAAAGCTACTCCACAACAGAATTTGAAATATTGAATGATCTTCTTATTCAAAATTTTATAACCAACGCTTCAGCAATTCCACCTCATCTCTGGATGAACTTAATGTGTATGCTGATTCTGCTACTTTTCTGCAGGGTTTCCCAAAGTGGGAGCCGCGGCCCCCTTGGGGGCCGTAAAGCTTTTTATGGGGGCCGCCAAAAAATGGGCCGAAAACAAAGATGCTGAATTTATTTTAATTTTAAGTAAACCATAAACCAATAAAAATGGTGTTGAATTAATCAAATGATACAGCATGTCGAAAAGAGATCTTATTGTTTTTACTACGGCACTGTTTTTCAATCACCATGCTAAAGTAGTGTATGTGGGGAAACATTTTAAAATCACATTTTAAGGCATTCTTATATGTTGGGGGCCTCAAACCTTTTTTATTTACATCAAGAGAGCCACAGACTAAAAGTTTGGGAACCATTTCTCTAAAGCATCAAAACAAACCCAATACACTCACATTTACTTACTGCCTCGATTCAAAGCAGAGTTAAGCCTAAAACACAAAAGAGAACAAATAGTGATTAAACTATGTCTTCGAACATCCTGTATTTCACATTTACAGCAACTGGTGGATCTCAGAATAGAAACGTTAAACGAAACGTAGCTTACTTTTACGCATAAATGTAAAATTTTATTATAGAGTTAGCATTAAAAGTTCAGCTAATTAACTAGTATGTAAAACGTCTAAGAACAGTAGCACGTGTAATAGCAACGCATGCGTTATTTCTTTATTTACACTCAGAAGAAAAACTTTTGTGCAGTTACTAAAATGTTGAAATATATATGTTATTTATAATCTAGCTGTAATATACATTCCTATGGAATAATCACCAAGTAGGGTTTGTTTAGAAAGAATTTACAAACAAAATTTACATATTCTACTGTTTTCTTAAGTAAACAATGTAAATATTAAAGCTTAAGGAATGTCTCAATGTAACGCTAAATAGAATTAATATGTCTTGAAATAGAAGAAGTTAGTAACATCCAATTAACAATATTTTTAGAAGAGATACCAGTGAGTTCCTAATTATTTCTTTCATCTCTCAGCACACCATTTTGTGGAAGAATAATAAAAGTATAACTGGACTGATCAAGATGACCGCTTATCACCGAAGACAGTGGACAATATTGTTTGTGATTGCAGAGTTACTGATGGGAGCGGCGACTAGACGTGGAGGTAAGATAACACTTTTAAGAAGTAAACCAACCTTGTGATAATTATTTAGCAAGTATCATTTTAACTGGTTTATTTGGCAAACATATTGTTTATTTTTTTAATGCTTTTTATTACCAATAATTATGCGCTACTAAAATACATTTAAAAATAAAGGTCTAGAGACGGATTGTTTCACAGCATATATATATATTCATGTCATTTCACTGAAATTCGGACTGTTTTACAGCATATATATATATTTCATGTCATTTCACTGAAATTCGCAAGAATATAGCTTAGTAGATTATATAAGGGTTAGCGATTGTGTCATGTTGCTACAGATTTTTCCCTCCCTTTCCCCTGTGATAAGTTATTTTGTTCTTCATATTTTTTCTTGCAAAGTGTTTCAATAGGAGAGAATAGCAGTCACGATTTTCTACGCTGTTACTGACGGGTCGTGCGGCATATCTTGTTTACTGAAGAGAGAGAGGAGTTTCTTTAGGTGTGCGTTATATATTGATTTAATTCCGCTGCCAAACCGTAGGCGGCGGTATTATGAAATCGTAGATGTGTTCTACAAATGATTCTTAAACCAAATTTCTTAAACAAAGTACTTGGAAGCAAATCTTATTGCCACATAGGAAAATAATGGATAGGGTGTTTAGATACTATAACTGTAATAATAAATTATGTTAAACGTTTTTTGGGCAGTAAGTTATGACAGTAAATTGTGCAAAACGTTTTCTTGTATTAAATTAGGACAGTAAGTTACGCTAAACGTTTTACGGTACTACACTACAACGAAAAATTATGTAAAATGTTTAGGTACTACATTACAACGATAAGTTATTTAAAATGTTTTTAGGTACTGTATTACAGTGGTAAGTTATTTCAAACGTTTTAAGGTACTGCACTACAATAATACGTTACGCTAAATGTTTTAGGTACTATACTACAAGACGATAAATTATGCTAAACGTTTTAGGTACTATACCACAAGACTATACATTATGCTAAACGTTTTAGGTGCTATACTACAAGACGATACATTATGCTAAACGTTTTAGGTACTATACAACAAGACGATACATTATGCTAAACGTTTTAGGTGCTTTACTACAAGACGATACATTATGCTAAACGTTTTAGGTGCTATACTACAAGACGATAAATTATGCTAAACGTTTTAGGTGCTATACTACAAGACGATACATTATGCTAAACGTTTTAGGTGCTATACTACAAGACGATACATTATGCTAAACGTTTTAGGTACTATACAACAAGACGATAAATTATGCTAAACGTTTTAGGTGCTGTACTACAAGACGATACATTATGCTAAACGTTTTAGGTACTATACAACAAGACGATACATTATGCTAAACGTTTTAGGTGCTATACTACAAGACGATACATTATGCTAAACGTTTTAGGTACTATACTACAAAACGATAAATTATGCTAAATGTTTTAGGTACTATACAACAAGACGATACATTATGCTAAACGTTTTAGGTGATACACTACAAGACGATACATTATGCTAAATGTTTTAGGTGCTATACAACAAGACGATACATTATGCTAAACGTTTTAGGTGCTATACTACAAGACGATGCATTATGCTAAACGTTTTAGGTACTATACTACAAAACGATAAATTATGCTAAACGTTTTAGGTGCTATACTACAAGACGATACATTATGCTAAACGTTTTAAGGTACTGCACTACAATAATACGTTACGCTAAATGTTTTAGGTACTATACTACAAGACGATAAATTATGCTAAACGTTTTAGGTACTATACTACAAAACGATAAATTATGCTAAACGTTTTAGGCGCTATACAACAAGACGATAAATTATGCTAAACGTTTTAGGTGCTATACTACAAGACGATACATTATGCTAAACGTTTTAGGTACTATACAACAAGACGATACATTATGCTAAACGTTTTAGGTGCTGCACTACAAAACGATAAATTATGCTAAACGTTTTAGGTGCTATACTACAAGACGATACGTCCATTTAATTGTTGCTATACAACGTTGCTAAAGATGTTTTCGAAGTGTTTTCAGCTGCATTTCTAAGATAAATTATTTCAAGAGAATAATTTAAAATGTCTTTCTTTTTTAAACCATTTCGAACTAAATATTTGTTAGGCGTTATAACACTATTTATTCTTAATGTGTAATAAACAATGTATTTCTTACTTTTATAACTTCGTATTCGTTGTCGGGGAGACAAACACGCACAAAGGAGAATATATAAATACAATAAGTCCAACTATTTATTATTTATCAAAGAGTCGTCGTCTGGTGTTAAACTCGATGGAATAAGCCTCAAACAAGGAGAGATACAATATGAAAAAAACTTCCCAGATAACAACTCTTGACGTGTTTTCTGTCGACGCATTTGGTGTCGCTAAACCAGCAGAAGTGACCGAATCTATACAAAAGCCGGGATTTTGACGGTCTCGGTAAAAAAAAAAAATGCTGTTTTCTTGTTAACAACATTTTAACAACATCAGTCTGCCTTTTATAGAAGCTCAGCTCAATCTCGAAAACCAATGTACTGTCATGGTAGAGAGTTGTTATTAAACGCACTCTTTTTTTTCTTTCCTACATCAATAACATTTACGAAAGGGCGATATTTTGTTTCTATCGAGTGTTTGCACTTGAAAACTTGATCAACGAACTGCAGTACGGCCGTAGTATATTTTCCCAAATAATATGCCTTATATCGAATAGTTACAGATAGATATGATAATTAAACGATTCAATTTTCAGAAATAACTGGCAGTATTATAAAGAAAAACGGAACGAAAAGACTCACTCGAAGTTTAGAAGAACATAAGCGTGTATCAATGCAGTGGTGTGTCACTATAGATGCGAGCCTTGCCGCCACAGGCGACATGTTTAGCACCGATATATTTAGTTCACTGCGAATTCCCAGCCATTCGATAGAGCTACGCCACCAGGGTTGACTTATAGCTGTAAGATTATATCACAGCCCGTTCCGAGGAAGTATGTTATTCATGTAGCAAGATTGTTAAACGATATAGGGCCAAAGGGTGCAACATTTCAAAGAGGGGACACTTCAATGTTCTTCATGTTTGCAGAGAAACTCGCAAAACGTTTAAAATAGCAATGGCTTTCCGCTTCGAAACTACACCCCCAAGCCATCTGGAGCAACGCCTTTCCTTTCGAAAACAAAACCCTCCTGGTCAACTTTTAACAAAGTGATAAGGAAACGTTTGAATTTAAGATGACTCATGAGCGAAATGTCCACAAGCTACCAGTCTTTTTGTGAAAAGTACTCCCTTTTTTTTTTCATGAGTATGTTGGCCCACTAAACTGGAATCACAGCAATTCAAATCCATAACCGGTCAAGTTTCTCAGTACAGTTCCAATGCTTTTGGTCTGTTGAAATGTAGTCATGGAAAACCGATGTTCAAGTATAGTGAATGGTCTGTGAAAGGTTTCCAAAGTTATATGATCTAACATTGACTTTTCCATCCTTTTCAGAAACTTGTTACAATGAAAACTGCACTGTCAAGCAGTAAGTAATACAAAATAATGGCTAACAGAATGAGTAAGGTCGACAATAAAGGAACTAGTTCCAAGGGCAGCACGAGACCTACGACATCATTATTACAAAGTGAGATTGAGCCTTAGTAATTATAATCACAAGTTAATGAAGTGTATAAGTATTAAATATTTGCTTCTTGCATAGGGTTTGTTAGATCATATATATACGTAAATAATTCGAGGATATGATTGCCTTGACTGAACATCTTAAAGACAGGTGCATTTACTTGAATTATTTTGTTTATAAGCAAACCAAATCAGTTACATCTTATAGATCATACATATCTCTGTAAAATCAACCGATCTAGGGTTAGCATTTCTTAAGTTTTTGCTGATTAATTTAAAGATAGAAAGACTTTTAAATGAACTTTCCAAAAAAACAAACACAGTTATTGTGTATCAAACCATCAAACGACAAAACAAACAAAAAAAAGCATCGTCATATTTTAATTGCAAATCTGATTTAAAAAATATTTATTAAAGAAAAGTAATAATAAATATTATTCTATCAACCTTGTCTCCTTCTTGTAATAAATAAGTCATATTTTTCACTATGGTAATTTTATGATTTAGTTTTTTCTTTGTTTTTTACTGAAATAAATTTCCTAGTTTGATCTTCAGATTGTTTTTGGTTTACAGATAAAAGTCATATAAGAATAGTGTGTAATGCATGAAATAATTTGAAAAGTGGGAGCATTTCACATGCCGTTCGTTTTATTTCTGCCTCAGAAGCTAAATCACACAGTGACGACACCTTAGTTATTTTTATACGTTTATCCTTTTTGTCAAATGTTTTCTGCTCCTGGAAGTGTAAGGTTGGGTAATCATGAAAACGAACCACCTATAAAATGATCTCCTTAACGTATGTCAACTCTGACTAACAATCTGAAACGTTCGGGAGGGTAAAAAGCAAATGGCACAGCCTTGAAACGTGCACTTTCTGACTACTTCTCTTCATGCTATACATCTCCGGAATCACCCCAATAACTTTAAAGAAGTGGTTTAGAAGAAAATAATCCCTTAGGCAATGAGATGAGGCGGTGCCTAACTGTGGTAGGAGGATTTCTGATCCGGTTTCAGAAAATAAAGTGGAAGCTTTTTTTTTTCTTTCTTAGTGCTACTTTTATCTACCTATCCATCCACTATTTTTCTTCCTGTCACTAGAGGCCGATTACAATTTAAGTGAACTTTTTTATTTGATATAACGACTGTGTGTACAGCCCGTCACATTTCTTTTTTTTTTAATTTTTACAGGAGAGGAGTTGAATGTTAGATAAAAAGACGAATAATGTTGAATTGGCCAGCGATCGGCAAAGGCTTTAACTTACACATATAATATGTGGCACAAAGAAGCTTTAGAACATATTCTATTTAACAGGTGTAATGAATAATTTGTTAGTTAAAAAGTATTTACTGAATTCC